GTGTGTGTCTTTGTGTTTGTGGGTATGTCTGTGTATGTTTGTGTGTGTGTGTGTGTGTGTGTCTGTGTGTGTCTGTGTATAATCGCAACAAGTTTAGTAGTGACAACAGCTAGCTAAAGCAGTAAAGGAGGGATGGGAGACTGGCTTGCTGGCTAGTTGGCTGGCTAGTTGGCTGGCTAACTGGCTGGCTAGTTGGCTGGCTAGTTGGCTGGCTAGTTGGCTGGCTAGCTGGCTGGCTAGTTGGCTGGCTAGCTGGCTGGCTAGTTGGCTGGCTAGTTGGCTGGCTAGTTGGCTGGCTAGTTGGCTGGCTAGTTGGCTGGCTAGTTGGCTTGCTAGCTGGCTGGCTAGCTGGCTAGCTGGCTGGCTAGCTGGCTGGCTGGCTAGCTGGCTGGCTGGCTAGCTGGCTGGCTGGCTAGCTGGCTAACTGGCTGGCGGGATACTGCTGTTTCTACTGATGTGAATCCCCCTTGATGTGACAATCCTAGCGACAAGTTAGACAATCCCAGCCATTCAGACTGTGACGATATGTCATATCTACTAAGTACTCACTAACTATTACAACAACTACATCAACTAAGTTCTCACTAACTATTACAACTACTACAACAGCTAAGTACTCACTATTACAACAACTACATCAACTAAGTACTCACTAACTATTACAACTACTACATCAACTAAGTACTCACTAACTATTACAACAACTACATCAACTAAGTACTCACTAACTATTACAACTACTACATAAACTAAGTACTCACTAACTATTACAACTACTACAACAGCTAAGTACTCACTATTACAACAACTACATCAACTAAGTACTCACTAACTATTACAACTACTACATCAACTAAGTACTCACTAACTATTACAACAACTACATCAACTAAGTACTCACTAACTATTACAACTACTACATCAACTAAATACTCACTATTTCAACAACTACATCAACTAAGTACTCACTAACTATTACAACTACTACATCAACTAAGTACTCACTAACTATTACAACTACAACAACAATTAAGTACTCACTCACTATTACAACAACTACATCAACTAAGTACTCACTAACTATTACAACTACTACATCAACTAAATACTCACTATTTCAACAACTACATCAACTAAGTACTCACTAACTATTACAACTACTACATCAACTAAGTACTCACTAACTATTACAACAACTACATCAACTAAATACTCACTATTACAACAACTACATCAACTAAGTACTCACTAACTATTACAACTACTACATCAACTAAGTACTCACTAACTATTACAACTACTACAACAACTAAGTACTCACTATCTATTACAACTACTACATCAACTAAGTACTCACTAACTATTACAACTTCTACAACAACTAAGTACTCACTAACTATTACAACTACTACATCAACTAAGTACTCACTAACTATTACAACAACTACATCAACTAAGTACTCACTAACTATTACAACTACTACATCAACTAAGTACTCACTAACTATTACAACTACTACATCAACTAAGTACTCACTAACTATTACAACTACTACAACAACTAAGTACTCACTAACTATTACAACTACTACAACAACTAAGTACTCACTAACTATTACAACTACTACATCAACTAAGTACTCACTAACTATTACAACTACTACAACAACTAAGTACTCACTAACTATTACAACTACTACAACAACTAAGTACTCACTAACTATTATAACTACTACAACAACTAAGTACTCACTAACTATTACAACTACTACATCAACTAAGTACTCACTAACTATTACAACTACTACAACAACTAAGTACTCACTAACTATTACAACTACTACAACAACTAAGTACTCACTAACTATTACAACTACTACATCAACTAAGTACTCACTAACTATTACAACTACTACAACAACTAAGTACTCACTAACTATTACAACTACTACATCAACTAAGTACTCACTAACTATTACAACAACTACATCAACTAAGTACTCACTAACTATTACAACTACTACATCAACTAAGTACTCACTAACTATTACAACTACTACATCAACTAAGTACTCACTATCTATACAAAAACTGCATCAACTAAGTACTCACTAACTATTACAACTACTACATCAACTAAGTACTCACTAACTATTACAACAACTACATCAACTAAGTACTCACTAACTATTACAACTACTACATCAACTAAGTACTCACTAACTATTACAACTACTACATCAACTAAGTACTCACTATCTATACAAAAACTGCATCAACTAAGTACTCACTAACTATTACAACTACTACATCAACAAAGTACTCACTAACTATTACAACTACTACATCAACTAAGTACTCACTAACTATTACAACTACTACATCAACTAAGTACTCATTAACTATTACAACTACTACAACAACTAAGTACTCACTAACTATTACAACTACTGCATCAACTAAGTACTCACTAACTATTACAACTACTACATCAACTAAGTACTCACTAACTATTACAACTACTACAACAACTAAGTACTCACTAACTATTACAACTACTACATCACTTAAGTACTCACTAACTATTACAACTACTACATCAACTAAGTACTCACTAACTATTACAACTACTACATCAACTAAGTACTCACTAACTATTACAACAACTACATCAACTAAGTACTCACTAACTATTACAACTACTACATCAACTAAGTACTCACTAACTATTACAACAACTACATCAACTACCTTGCCTTTTCCCACGGATGTGAACAAATCCATTGAGAAAATAATTATTTTACCCCCGATCAATTTATTCCCCACCTATACCATCGATCAGGTATCGCCACCTATAGTATCGATTAGCCTCAACACTCCGATCGGCTGTCGCTACAACCAGCAATTGAACAAACCCTCGCCCGACGTTAATGAATTAATAAAATCAATTAAAGTAATGGAAGCGATTTGCTTTGAAGTCCGAACCAGTTTCTAATTCTTCCCATAACCACAACATACACATTTCAAAAACTATACAAGGTTATTTCTAAACTTTGGAAACAGAAGAAGAGTGAGTTGTTTTTTTTTAAATCTAAAATTCCTAAGCTGATTAGAAATCTAAATTTGATTCACAATTCTCTTTCTAAGCTTACAGGGTTTGAAAAAGGCCATTTTGTGTAAACCGTAAATCTCTGTTCTACTATAAAGTGAAATTTGATTCAATGGAAACTAAGTATATTTTTTCACATTGAAAAGTTGTTTAAAAAAAATACTAGTGTATTTTAAAATTTACTATTTCATTAGATAGAGAATGAAAATGTATACGTTTGTGCCCGTTTGACCACTTATATATATATATATATATATATATATATATATATATATATATATATATATATATATATATATATATATATATATATATATATATATATATATATATATATATATATATCAGGTACAAAAGTGCAATTGCTACTTTCCTTTATTGAGTCCGATAAGTTAGTTAAACAAAGTAAGCTTAGGCGATCCACCTATAAATTACGTTAGGGAGCCAGACAAATCACCCATGGCTTTTTTTTCAATGGGTTGTGTGAGGGTGGGGGTGGGATGAGGGATAGATGAGGGCGGTGAGTTGTAGGCGGGTCTGTGGGGATGTGTGGGTGTGTTGTGGGAGGGGGTAGGGTGAGGTGGTGAGGTTGGTGAAATTGACGAGGTGGTGATATTGGTGAGTTTGTTTATGTGGTGAGGTGGTGAGGTTGTTGAGATGGTGAGGTTGTTGAGGTGGTGAGGTGATGAGGTGGAGAGGTTGGTGACGTGGTGAGATTGTGAGGTTGTTGAAGTGGTGAGGTGGTGATGTGATGAGGTGGTGAGGTACTGTTCCTGAATGTGATTAGACAAAGTACGCGAATCACGGAGGTTGAGGATGGGGGGGGAGGGGGTGAAAGATTTGAAGATGAAAGCAGAAGATGATGTGACGATAACGTGACTGTACGGTTGATGTCAGAACTGATGTATCCGTTAATGTCAAGTGATGACAGGTCCCCCCCCCCCCCATCCTCATCCTCTCCACGCGCAGCTGATAGCTAATAACTTAACACAAACAACAAACACAAACTTCCCCCCCCCCCCTCTCAATCTAGTAGCGCAGCGAAGGTCAAGAACCGTTTTAAAAAATTGAACGAAGTCTTGAGAAAAATTTCTCGACCTCAATACCCGGATCACGTGACTGATATTTTTACCCAGCAGAAAATTAATTGAGCGCGCGGGACGAATTATCCGGGCTAATCTAATGCCCTCGGAAGGCTGGGGTGAGCGGAAACCGTTGCAAGTTGTTCACTCATTCTTTATAAAATTCAAACTTTGTCAAATCGATTTACACGGAACATGTTAAAAACTGATTTCAGAGAGCATTACGAAAGTGTACACATCAGATTTTCAAAATATTTTCTTTGTTGATTTAAAACACATTTTCGAGTGTAAGTCCAATACCAGCAATAATGTAGATCTACTTAAGTATTAGTTAGAAATTCGATTGCTTCTATTTTCGATATAATCGTTTAATCAAAGTATCAAATGTACACGCCAAGGATATAATTGATGAGGTAAAGTTTATTGTATAATTTTGACGACTATGTAAATGCAGATTTTAGCAGCAAGCAAAAAGCATTTTCAAACTGCAAAATACTTATTATAAACATATTATTTGAATCATCAAGTTTATAAGCCGCTTATCATTAAATGCTGAATAAATGAGATAAGGAAAAACCTTTTTTAAGTGTAGAGATAATGATTTAAATATAGTTGTACAAACATCTATATGTACTTCTGATAGAATACAAATTGGATAGAAATCGTGGGCTTTTTTTTAACTTCCTTAAAAAAAAATCTTCTATGAAATATCAGTTACTTAAATATATATATATATTTTTTTAAAAACAACTGTTTTTTTTTTTTTTTTTTTTTTTAGTATATTTAGTTTTATTGGAATAAATTGAATC